TTTAGTATTATCTCAAGGTTAGTGGGAGAAATGTCAGACTCAGAGAAGTTGCATGACATGCCTGGTGTCACACATTAATAACTGCAAAGTTGAGACTTGTCCCCCAAGCTTTAACTCCAAAATCTGAGCTCCCTGTGCATGCTGTGCTGCCTCTCCTCTAACTACACACTCATGACCAACAGTGACTCTCCAGAATACCACAGCTCTGAGCACAAATCAGCTTTGTAATCTTCATTTTTACCTGGGCAAGGTTAACAAATGAGTTAAAACACACACACACACACACACACACACACACACACATGTAACTCGCCACTAAAGCAGATTCAGCCCAAAGATTACTTCTCTTCAGAGATGGTCCCTAGCTTCTATCCGTTTACCCTGATGCAAATACCTCTTTGATTTTGTCCCCTCAAATGAGCCTCTTTTATCCAAGTAATGACTCCTCCCTTCTTCAGGCCAGTGAGGACAGGATTTGAATCTAGAATCTGGATGATAGACTTTTTCAAGGGTGCAGTGGTCTTGCCTGCCCAGGTACATCCGAGCTCAAGGCCTGGTGTACAATTAAACTCTGCTTATGGCTCATAAGAAAGCAGTTCTGGGCTGTTTATATTAGAGAATGACCACCACCACCCCAGGAATGGGCACCTGACAGATGGTTTGTCCTTTGTTCCATTAGCCTAGAGATTATCCCAAATGAGACATCCAAACAAAACCCCCAGGAGTAGACAACAGCAAAGACATAGCTTTGTCAGCCATGATCTCTTATGAGCAAATTCAGCTTCCTAAATGGAGAAAAAAAAACCAGAAATGGCCCCAAAATAAAATAGCCTTGAAGAACGTATAAGTACTTCTAAATCTCAATTGTACCATTAGTTAAACTTCTAGGGAAAATAAGTTTATATCATTATGCTTTTCACTCATTCCACAATTCAGTCAATAATTCACTCAGCGAGTACCTACTCAGAAAATAGACATCATCCTGCTCCTCATGCAACTTACAGTTTTACAGAGGAGATAAATACCTTATAATCACACCATGAAGGCAAAAGAGAATGCAGCAATATGTGCACAAATCACAAGTATAAAAAACTAGGATCCATAGTGTACGTGATGTGAACAAATGCTTCAAAGCAGAACAACTTATAAGACAAGGCTGAAGACTGAGGTTATAGGTTGAAGGTATGAAGAAGGGGGAAAGTATTTCTAGAAACACCATGTGCAAAGGCCCAGGAGTAAGAAACAGCTTGGCAAGTGAAGGGAGCACTGAACAGGCAGCATGACTGCAGCAATAGAACCTGATGGTAGAGCAGGATGTAGCTATGCTGAGGAAAGAGGATGTAAGTGTTCAGGCCCACCATGTGTGGGCCTTTGCAGACCACACCTTGGGCAGAAATCCAGGATTCCACTTTAAATCCAATGGAAAAGAGCCGAAAGTCCTAAGGAGCAGAGGCCTGTGATCGGATCTACAGCAACACAGAGGGTGACAGTGTTGCCCTATTTTAAATAAGGAACCTCGGGCCAGGATGTAGCTCAGTGGCACAGTGCCTGCCTGACAAGCGTGAGGTCCTGAGTTCAATCTCTGGTGCAAAAATAAATAAATAAATAATAAATAAATAAGGACCCTCACTTTGTCAGGACAGGAACACACAACAGTTTTTCCAAAGCCCATTACCAACTAGCTTCTAGGGCGGCACAGCCTCTCTACTGCTGGAAAGCAGACCCCTCTCCTATCCAGGAGCACTGTGGTCCCAGGCCTGTCAGCACGGAGTGGACAAGGTCTGACAGCAGACATATCAAAGAGCCCCTGAGTCAGTCTAAGAAACAATGACAGCTCCCGTGACTGAGCCACAGGCTAAAACACAGATACTAGAGGATGGAGACTTGTAATGTAGAGTTGGAGCTTGGCCTAGACAGCTCAGAAGTACTTATTCTCAACATTCTAAGATGCTGACTTGGCCATGTGACCTGCTCCGAGTCACCCGCCTGTATCCCTTGACCTAGTTAGAACCCACCACTCAGGAGCACAGCCCTCTGATGGATCACGTGGCTCTCATTGTTAAATCTTGTCTGCTCCACTTGGCAGTAAAGTCCACAGGACACAAAAAGCCTGCATCTTCGTCACTACTTTCTCCCCAACACCTAGGTAACACGGGGTACTTGTAGATGCTTTCAGTGTTGGATGGCTTTGAGTGGGTGATAGTACACAACACTAGGTGTTGTAATTGTGGATTTTTTTTTTCTATTGCCTCCTGTGGGCTCTTGGAGAGCAGAGTGGCTGTTTCAATCTATGCATCTCCAGTTTATTAAAGCTGGCATATGCTATAGTGTTGATTCATTGATTAGTTCTTTAATATATAGATGAATCAATTAAGTAGGATCTTCATGAATGCAGCCCACTCTACCTCTTCATTAGTCAACCACAAGGTGCATAAAATCACACCATCTAAGCGTCTTGTGTATCACTGATATTCACTGGTGAGATGCCCCCTTAAAATTGGTGTTCCACTCAATCCCACATATTAATACACACCCAGGAACATGTATGTGTAAAACCTCAAGAAATGTAAAGAAAGTCTCCCAGTCTTCAGAAGTCAACCAATTCCCTAATCTTGACAACTGTTAAATGAGACACTAGCCTATCTTTGGGGGGAACTGAGTGAAAAGTACAAAAGAGGTCTCTAATTAATTTTTACACCCTCTTGTGAGATTTAAATTACTTTAAGATAAAGTGCTGTAATTTTTTTAAATAAACACATTTTTAATTTTATACTCACATATCCTTATATATACTTTTCATATGTATTTTCAGAACACTTAGCACAATGGTAATGATTAAATGAGGTTATTATGTATTACACTGTGCATAGGAAAGGTAGTATCCTACTTGAGCACTGTTCCTTTTGTCTGGCTGAGCTGGCATTTAAAATATGCTGGGAGAGGAGAGAGAAACATTACTTTTGCATGATTCAAGCATATCCTCAAAATGATGTTTTCATAAACAAAGTGCCAATGGCTATAATCTTCTCTTTTCCTTTTATCCTAATTCAGGCCAATAACAAGCATTTCTGCTTCCTTCTGCAAGATTCCAGGCTTTGAAAGACAGGAAGCAATTATAAGTTGCAGGGATCTGTTAGCAAAAAATTCACAAGAAGTCAGAATGCCTTTAAATTTCTCTCTCCTTAGTGTTATCCTTTGAAAATGATGCTAATTTTGGATAAAGATATTTAAAATAAATACTGTTGATGAGCTGGGACTGTAGGTTAGTGGTAGAGCATTTACCTAGCATATGACCTGGGATTCTACCCCAATACCCCAAAAAGAAATAAATGAATAAATAAGGTCGATGTTCACACTTCAACACTATACTGGCATTTTTTTTTTTTTTTAGTTCTTTTATTAGTACATTTTAGGTATGCAATTCGTTTACATTTATCATTGGGTGTTTGTACCTCTACATGAGGTATCTTGGTTCTTATTTTTTTCCCCATTACCTGTGCACCCTTCACCCCCTCTGCCCTTCCCTATTTACATAAATTTCATTTCCTTTTTTTTTTCTTTTCTCATAGTTTTTCCTTTCCCTCTTTTCCTTTCCCCTTCCCCTCCCTTCACTGCTTCGTCTTTGGACCTTTTTTCCTATTTCACATTATCAATTTTTCATTTTAATCATTTTAACCCTTGTTTACACTTTCAGTTTCTCACACTAGAGAAACTATTCGGTATTTACACATGCGTGTCCTATTTATTTCACTTAAGAGTATGGCCTCGATATGCATCCATTTAGCTATAAATGACTGTAGTTTTCCATTCTTTATGGCTGAGTAGTACTCCATTTTATAAAAAAAGCCACATTTTCTTTATCCAGTTTCCAGTTGATGGGCACTTGGGCTGCTCCCAAGCTTTCGCTATTACAAACTGCCACTATAAACATGGGTGCACATATATCGCTGTGGTATGATTCTTTTAATTCTTTGGGGAAGATACCCAGGAGGGGAATAGCTGGGTCAAATGGGACCTCTAGTCCTAGTTCTTTGAGGTATCTCCATACTGATTTCCACAGTGGTTGCACCAGTCTGCACTCCCACCAACAATGGAGAAGGGTTCCTTTCTCCCCACAACTCTGCCAGTATTTGTTATTTGTTGATTTCTTGATAGCAGTATACTGACATTTTTGAACCCTGTGTTTAAGAGCCCACGGTTAGTAACTTGGAAATCAATGCGGTTCATCACATCAAAACTCTGAACCCTAGTAAGCAACTGTCCTACTGCCTCGAAGATCCAAAACCACTAGCAAGTAGTCCATCTGCAGCCAGGAGGGGTGGTGCATTCTTCTAATCCCAGCTCTGGGGAAGCTGATGCAGGAGGATTGCAAGTTAGAGGCCAGCCTGGGCAACTTAATGGTATCCTGTCTCAAAATAAAAAATGGAAATATAGGCTGGGGCTTTTTTTTTTTTTTTTTTGGTACCAGGGATTGAACTCTGGTCCTTGTCCTTGTGGGGGTAGGTGGCAGAACCACTGAGCTAAATCCCCAGCCCAGGCCTGGGGCTTTTTGTCACTCAGTGGTAGAATTCCTGCCTAGCATGCATGAGACCCTGGGTTCAATCCCCAGCACTGCAAAACAAAAAACAAAACAAGACAAAACAAAATAAAACAGCAACAATAACAAAAATATGCATGTGGATCAAAGCAAAATTTCCCTACATCTTTCAGCAAGGCCTTTCCTTAGCATGAAGTGCTGCCGTTTCCAGTACTATTCAGTTAATAAGCTTCCTGGGATCAATAGGATGAAAATAATTTAAAAGCCTGTAAATACCATAAACATAAAGTTGAATTTGAAGATGAATGGCATTCAGCCACTTTCTTCCTTGTCTAGAAACTGCAGACCTTCAGGGGTACATCTAAGAAGTGAATGTGCTCAGGAATCCTTCAGTTTTATGGTAACCTGTGTCTTCTGAGTTCAGCTCAAGGAATGGCATGGCAGCTGCATCTTAGAGACTCACCAGCTTGTCCACAAGAAGTTTTGAAGGATACAGTGTGGTAACCAGGTGCAGGAAAAGTGCCTCTCTGCTGTCTAGAAAAGCTCCTTAAGGTAGGGCACCCAACTTTACTTCTTCCGGAAAGCACTCAGGAGCTGTAAAGACAAAGCATCACTTAGTAAAAGAAAGCAGGACTATAGCAAAAACTACTTTTACTGTTTGGCTTATTGATGCACTGAATCAAAGAGGGAGGAACTGTAACTACCGGTTCTGCCGGAACTGAGAGATTCCATCCACACAATCTTTTGTGCATCAAGAATATAGCTTGATTCCAAAGAAATCCCTCTTAAAAATATCCCAAAGGAGATAAAATGCCTTTAAGATCTTGCAGCTCTTTCATGCTTGCTGTGGGCCAAATCTTGCAATTAGAATCAGTCACTTTAAGTGCTGAAGTCATATAATGCTAATAGATGACTTTATAATGGGAGCAGTTTTTAAAAGTCATATTTAATTTTCCATTATTACTGTACTGAAGCCTGGTTGTATCTGTCTATTCCATTATAGATTCTGACGTCCAGGAAGGGACAGATTGCTGCTGGCTGAGGCATTGCTCGATTCTGGCTTTAATTCTCAGAGACCTGAATTCAAACTCGAAAATAGACCATATTTCGACTTTCTTCATAAATATGTTTTTTTTTAATGTCCACACCAAATGATAAGGGCTTCTTTTTGTTTCATAATTATTTTCTTTCAAAAAACTACAGATTGAGGCAAAAGCCACCATGATGTGTGTGTGCACATCTGAGTGTGTGTGTGTGTCCACACTCACACAAGTATGTGGTTTTCTTTAAGAAAATGAAATGAACCAGAAAATAAGCCCTTAACAGTAACCTAAGAAATAAAACAAAATCATTTACAGCACATGGGATTGTTGCAGAATATGCCAAGATTAGACGGTTTAAGGAAGCTATCCTGAATGTGGAAGTAATTATAATGAAATTCATGACTCATTAGCAAACATTGAGTATTGTGTTTCTCATTTCTGGGTCAATGTTACTAGCAAATATAGACTTCAGATTTAGATGTTTCATTGATTTCAGTGCTAGATTATAGGAAGTTGGGTCAGGCAATGACAGAAAGCAAAGACTTCAGGATTTTGAAGTTCATTTCTCAGATGTAGGCAATGAGGTCCTTATGATAAGTACTACAAAATACCTTCACAAATGTATCAGTGAGCATTGCGTTGGTGATAGAAGGTTGCCTGTAAATGTAAAGTAAGAATTACGTGGTGCAAATGTGTACTGGCAGATGTCAGTGGGGTTTTTGTGTGCACACTGCTTGGTATGCAAAATGCCTGGTGAACTCAAGTACCCAATACTGTGTGTAATGGGAACCAGATGTCTAACAGAGAGAGAAAAATATTTTATAGCAATAAATGTGACATTGACTCTTAAAGGGTTTGCTGCTTTTAAACAACTTCCCCATCTTACTTTTCCTTCTATTCTAAAATAGTTTCAAGTAGATTGTGTCAGGAAATTATTTTCATATTTTGAAAGGAAAAGTATTTAACTTGCCACTAACTTCTAAAGTGCATACATAAAGAGAAATGATCTGAGAAAGATAATTTTGGAATTCATTCATTTACCAAAACACTGTGCTCAGCAATGCAAAAAGATATATTAAGGCAAATAAAGCATAATTCCTCCTGCCCTTAAGGAATCAAAATATACTAGATGTGATAAGACACACACAGCTGCTTGGGGATATGGCAAAAGCAAGTCCTAGGAAAGAGGCACGAAGTGCTCTGAGAATTTGAAGGAAGAAGAGAAAGCCCCACAACAGGCAGGCTCAGAGAATGTGACCATCCCCAGCCTTTCCATAGCTGCCCCTCCTCTGCACCCCGCATGACCATGACGGCCCCCCTCCCTGAAACTCGTCTCTCTCAACCTCCCGGCACTCACTCCCAGTGCAGCCCTAACTTTGCTGCCAGGGTAGATGTTCTGAAGCCCTAGTCCTCTGGGAAGCAGAGCACCCTAGGGATGAAGTGACAACCTTTCTAGTTAGACCCCAAGGGTCCACTTCCAGCTTTGCCACTTACTGGCTGTGACTTTTTGGAAGTCATATAACAACACACCTGTCTCTACCTGCATGTTCTCATCTATAGCACTATGCATCTCAGGTGCTGGGAGTCAGGACTTAGTAGAGTTCTGCACACACAGTGCTCTCCCTGTCACTGGCATAGAATCAGGGTCTGGTTAGAAACTCTTCTCTGTTAGCCTCTATCAATCATCCAATCTACTTTATCTAGGACAAAATCTATCTTTAGTATGCCAAGCTGCTTATGTGCTGGCCCATGTACATGTCAGTTGTTTTGTTGAATTTCTTCCTTCAAATAGCAGACACCTTTGCATCCTGGTCTGCCTGTCATCGTCCAAGTAGAGCTCAAGCCCTACACCTTCACCCAAGCTGTTCCAAATGATTCTGTGTCCACCCATCCCCATGCAGATTTGCAGGTCTCCCCTCTTACAGATCTTTCTGAACCTCCTCTGATAGCCTGTGGAAGAACAGAAGCCTTCTCCCACCAAGCCATGGCTGTAAACTCACATGGCACACATAGCATAAGTAAGTGAAGAGGTGCAGGGTAAGATGGTACAGGTGGTAGGAACTTCAGCAAAAAGAAAAATTCCTTCCTTAGCTGAAAGGTGGACTATGGATTTAGAGTAAAAAACTCTTCAACATCATCAGAGTAAAATAAGGGCTCGGTATGTTCAATTCTTCCATTTTTCCAAGGTAAGACAGATCTGAAGATTTGCAGAATGTCCAGTAGTCCACTGTTGACAATTTAAAAAAAAACAAAATACCATAACTTTGACTCAAACAAAACAAACCTAGGGGCCAAATGGATAACTATGCAGACCTCAGCTCTTAAACTATTTAATTCTGAAATTTTTTACGGTGCACACTCTATTCTAGCAAACTTTACCTTTGCTCTTTAATTATTTACACACCTACTTTCCTATCATACTAAGCTTCTTGAGGACAAAGACCATGTTGAGTTCTCTTTTTCTTCCCAAATACCAGCACAGTGAGTGGCTCTGAAAACCATCCCACTGAATTCCATATTGATATTTTCCTAAGCTTTGAAGCCAGGGAAGGGTCTGCAGAGGAGAAGTCAAACAATAAAGATGTTCATGATACCAATGTCCCTACTTTTACAGAGGAAAGATTTTATAAAAGTAAGTCTTAGTTGATATCTACCTTCCTTTGAACCATGTGGAACTCTTTCTGCATTGGCTATAAAGCCCACACTATGATTAGCAACACTGGGGTCATCTCTCAAAATAAAAACCTGGTCCACAAACCTTGTCTATACATAAATGTGATCTACACATGGCACGTCAATGAATAGCTAAGTGGTGCAGTTAACTTTACCTGAAACAGCTCCATTGAAACTGTCAGATGTGACAGTGTTTTACTTTGTTGGAAAGTGAGTAGAGATCACATCTGGAACACAGAAGGAAACATTGTGTCTAAATCCACAGTCCAGATGAAGACAGGAAAGGCTGGGGTAGAGGACAATGGAGATCAGGAACAGCAATAACAATACATACTTTAGAAACTTTGTCAATGTTCATAGTCATTGATCCAATGTTGAAACTTCTGGGCAGTTAACTCAAGGAAAAATCATGCATCAATATTTAACTGTAAGACTTCTCACTGCAGTTCTGTTTATTCTGTTGAAAATGTGGGCTGTCTCACTTAAGCAATATAGAAGGTTGATTTATAATTATTAAGAATGGCAGCGGAAATCTACTGGTCAAGATCTGTTATATAATTTAGCTTTTGGTTACGCACATGTGACAGACGAAAAAACTGAACCATAGGGTGTTTAAATAATTTGTCCAAATCACATAACAAATATGTGTCAGGGAGAATATTTGAACTCAGCTCAAGCTTTATCCATTAATTGTACCTCTGTCAGTAATATCGGAATATCCGCAGTACTCATGGTAAAGACATCAACATTATAATCTTGGAGAATACACAATAAACAGAAATGTGCGATACACTGTTCATTAAAAAATCAGTTTATACAAAAATATCACTTTAGGCAGTTGTTGTTAGGTGGAAATATCAGAATTCTATAAATGCTGCTCCATTAAAGATGGATATAAAGGAAGAATACAAGGCCATGCCACAAAAATCCCAGCAGGCCAGGCATTAGGTCCAGGATGTAGGTCTCTGCCCCCCATAACTCCACCATCTTTCTCACCTTTTGTTCTGTCTCCTTCTCTTGAAAACCACCTTCCCCAGTAAAGCTTTAAGTCTCTAGATACAAATACTCATCCCATCTCTACGTGATAGGCCTGGTCTCACCGACTTACTTAATCTAAAGGAAAGAGCAGAGGCTACTGGCATAACTAGGGCCAGGGACTTTCCAGCTGATGTCTGCTCCTATTCCAATCACCAGAGGCCAGGGACAGGCTCTGGAGAACTGGTTCTATAAGCCAGCAAGGGGCCTGAAGGGAAGTACTAACCTTCTAAATGGTGGTACTATTTTTGTCTATAAAAACCATAAATATAGAGGGGGGAAAAGATAAGAAAGGCCCACATCAAGGTATTAAGAATGTTTCTATCTATAGTGTTTGTTTTATTTTTTTCTTCTCTTTGAGTTCTAAATTCTCTATCATGGATATATATCACTTTTGTACTAAGAGGAAAAAAGAAACCCAGCCCACATGAGGATCAAAGAGTGAATTCCACAGTGGGTGGTATTTGGAGACTAAAGGCTCAGATTAGAAGTATTTTTAGGGAGGATGGAATGTAGGAAATGCTTACTAAAGAAAGGTGAGCGACTGAACAGCAAACCTCACCTGAAAGTTCCTGGATTGGACGGGAGCAAGGCCTCCTCTGCAGGAAGATGTCCAAGCTGTGTCAGGTGGAGACGCTGGCAGGGTGTGCACCAGGGTTTCACGTCCTGGGCCCGTGCTGGGCAACTGGCTCCTGGGATGAGAAAGACCATTGCAGACGAGAAAGCCATGAGTCACATGGAACACAAGACAGGACCTCAGAAAGCACAAGACAGTGGCCAAGAAGGAAGAAACCAACATCAAATTATATATTTCAAGTAATCAACAAGTAATGAGACAAGAAAGGGGAAAAAGAAATTCCTTGGTCTGAAAAATGGCAATGGAGTAGCAAATCAACACGGAAGGGGAGGGAAGGGAACTTTAGTCTTTTCCAAGGGAAAAAAAAAAGATAAAGTGGTGACCACAGGATGTTAATGGATAGGGAAGCATTTTTAGGAACACAGTAGCATAATGGAGCTGAAAGAAAGAGCAGCTGGGGAAACCAAGGGAAGAAGACAGGTAAGGAGCAAGTATGTTATGGAGAACAGAGGCTGGTGGAGTAGCTCAATGGTAGAGCACTTGCCTAGCATGCCCAAGACTGTGGGTTCAATCTCCAACACTGCAGCAAAAAGTTATGGAGAGCAAATACATGAGTTTAAACAAAGCTAGCGAGAACTCCTGCTCCAGAGTTGGAGAACATTTGTCCCTGTGACAAGTAGTCCCTTAGCCTGTGACCTATAGACATTCATGTGTTCATCCCAGACCCTAGTTGAGGCCTACTCTTCTATCACCTCACTCCCTCGGAAAGTCAATATTTCATTATTTTCCTTGGATACTTAGTGAACTTTCATAGATCCAACTAGATGGAAACTCCCGGAGGTCAGAACTTGGGAGCAGCGGACATCATGATCAGACATGTAGAAGTTTTAGGCCATGTCCAAAAGTTCCTTACCTCTCCTCAATCCAGAGAAGATGTCTCTGTGCCTTCCCCTGGAACCTGATATAATCTTAGTGATGGGATGACAGAGTGTGCAACGTGGGTAGATAAAAAGAGCAATTCTGTTTTTACCTTATTCTCTTGGGACCTTCATCTTTGGAGCCCCAAGCTGCCATGTAGGCAGCACAGGATAAGAAGCTGGGAGGAGGCTCCCATGACATGGAATGACCATGTGTAGGTGTCCCAGCTGGCAGCAACGGCTGAGGGTGCACTGATAGCCAGCATTAGCGTCAGCCCTGTGAGGAAGGACACCTTGCAGTGACTCCAGCCCTCATCCTGCTGAAAGACGGCCCACCTGCAAGCCACCCTGCTGGCCCAGTTGACTCGCAGAACCATGGCAGATCAAGATACAGTGATTGCTACGGTTTTATGTGAACACATTTTAAGGTGCTCTTTCATTCAGAAAGATAACTGGAGCAGACATCATTGGATTTCAACAAATATCTATTAAATTTATTTCATACATAGATAAGGGAAGGCAACATTGTCTCTAGGTTTTTTTCTGCCTTTTTATATTGTGCTTCATCATTTTTTCTTGATCAGACTCTCCTTATATTCTAATCTCTCTTTCTCTCCCTCCCCCTTCCTCCCTCCTTCTTTCCTTCCCTCCCTCCCTTGCTCCCTCCTTTTCTCTGTCTCATTCTCTCCTTTTTCACAGCCAGGATAACCAGAAAGGAGAGAGCTACCATCCAGAGAGCTTCAGTCTATCCATGCCCATAAAAGACCTCTGTTTCTCTCTTTTGACATAAAGTAACTCAATTCCTTTTTGTCAACTGATCCCATTTCCCTTTCCTTTACTGTCTTCACCCCTCCTTCCTGAACAATCTCTGAGTCTTCCATGTACTTTTTAGGTTGTAAAACTAAGAATGAGATACCCTACCCCAGTGGTGATGCTGGCTCTAGCATGCCCCTCATCTGGAAAGCCCTGTTATTCTTGGCCTGTTTTGCATTTTCTTGTGGCTGCTCCGCCCTCTGCTGCAGGAGCTCCGACTCCCTTCCCCGGCAGTCCAGGAACTTGAGTGGGAAGATAGCAAGCAGGGTGGTCAGAAGGGCTCGGAGGCCTACAGTTTCCAGTGAGGCTGCAGAGACGGGAGGCCGAGGGCTGGAACCCGGGCTCAGAGAGGAGTGACTCATACAATGGCAGTTGAACAGCTGATAAAGCTGGAGGCTGAGGGCTATGCAGAAACTGGACCAGCACGTTTCCACCTCCTGTGTGCAGGGGATTCCAGTCCATCCATGCTACCCCCAGGTGTGTCCCAGGCTGCCACCTTGGTGTGTCAGCTGTGACAAGCCACCCATCAACTGATCTATGCCCTCGCACAAGTAGCGAGCATGCTAGATGACCACAGAACTTCATCGCAGAGAAATAAAGAAGGCGCCCCAGGAATGGCAAGCATGTCACTAAAAGGAGTGTGGCGTGCAGGGCTGGCGGGCCACACTAGCAGCAGGCAAAGCGGTATCATGTCAGGTCAAGGAGAAGGCCCCACTGCCAAAAATAGCTGCCCTTCCAGTTGCCGCAGCATCTAAAATTATACCATTGGAGAATTATTCCTTTGCACACCTCACCTTTGATGGGGATGGGCCTGGGAAGGACCCACAGAGTATCTTCCCACGAAGGTCCAAAAGGCCTGAGAGCCGCACAGAGGTATTTGGGGGCGGGCAAGGAGGGAGGTGCTGAAAAGGCAGGAACAGGGCAGAGAGAGTGCTGGTGAGCCATAGCAAAGGGCAACTTCTCCTGTTTCAGAGTTTTATCCAGAAGGAGCCTGGCTGGCAGCTCCATCATAAAACCGAGGCCCTAGCAATTTGCCAGTAAATTTGAACCATGCATGTAAACAATTCTAATAACTCATTCCTTGAAATGCCTTTATAATACATTATTATGCAGAGTGGCGCATGCTTCTACTTCAAATTGCCTAAATGGAAAGAAAAAGTACACGAAGAGGCAATTGAAAAGAACAAGAGGCACTGTGAGGAAATGGTTGGTGCCTGCCATGCCGCAACATCCAGGGACGTTCCATGCAGGGGATGTGGTCCCTGCCACCACAGTTGTGGTTTCTGGGGAAGATTCCTCAAAACTTCAAGCAAGGAGTTTGTCTTTGATAGAGAGAAGCTTGGTTAACCTGACCCCAGAAGATTAAGGAGTAAACAAAATCGAAGCAAACAATCACTATTTGAAATTCACATCCAGTTCACTGTATCAACAAGCAGTAGTCCATCCGGTTGCATTTTTAGAGTTCTTAAGAAACAGACAAGAATTTGGGGAGGATGAATTCACCCCGCTTAAGACAACTCTGGGGCAGAAAGATGAGTACCACAGAGGACACGGGCGGGCTTTCGGCAGAGGCAAAGATAGAATAGGAATCTGAGAAAACAAGGGAGAAAGGAAAGAATGAAAGACTGGAGGGACAAGTGCTGAGAGCAATTGATTTTTGCAAGAATAACCAACATCTCTACACCATTCAGCAGTGTAAAAAAAACTTCCGCATAACATTACCTCCAACCCTCCAACCCCCATCTGAGAAGGGAGCTGTACACCCATTTCTATAAAAGAGAATGTGCTAGATGAAAGCAATTAGGTGACTTTCCCAAGGTCACATGGCTGGTTAGTTGGAAACATGTTCAGTTCTTGAAACCAGAGTCTCACTAGCTCAATCCCCTCCTTTTTTTTTTTGGTACCAGGGATTGAACTCGGGTCCTTGAGCTTGCGCAGCAGGTGGCGAAACCACTGAGCTAAATCCCTGGCCCCAATCCCCTGCTTTTTTCTACTCCAACCATCTCTAGAGTTACAACAGGCATGCAAGAAATGTTCCTCCTGGATCTACTGAGTCACTTCCCAGGTGATTTCTGTCCCTAAGCCTTCCCTTCTCAACTTTGACGCATTCATGCATTCACAAATGAAGACTGAGCCTGAACTACTGCTGGGCACTGTTCTGAAACCTGGACTGGAGCTCACCTGTAGGGAGATTTCACACTGGTGGCTCTCTTTGCAGACAGCCACTCCCTGACCATGGGAGCTAAAGGAGCCCCAGAATCTTCTTCCAGTCACTCTTAATTTTCCCATAATGTAGTCGCCCCTCAATATCCACAGGAAGTTGATTCCAGGATGAATCGCTCTTTTTCATGGAGTTCAAGCTCCTTAGATAAAAGGACAGATTATGCACATAACCAATGCACACCCTCCTAAGTATTTAAAATCATCTCCGGGTGACTTGTAATACCTATTGGAATGTATATTACACAAAAATAATTATTCCACTGTCTTGTTGATAGAACAATCCAAGCAAAGTCTGATTGAATCTGAAGGTGTGGAGCCTACAGATGAATGGAGCTGATGGCACTGAAAACCACCAGAAACCACATAGTTCAAATATTTTTTCTTGATTTTACTGCTTGTCTCCCTTTCAAGAAAATTAGGTCCTTCCAAACAAGGACTCAGCCTTATTCAAGGGTGTCCCTCAAAATTAAGATAATTTCTACACAAATAAGTACTTGGTAAATATTTGTCCAATAAATGTCACAGGACAGCAAGGAGATCTTGGTTTCTAGCACCTCCTAGGTGTTCAAAATAGTGTGAATCCACTTATTATAATCATCTCATTTAATCAGAATAACAATAGCAAAATAGAAAACATACACAGAACAAAAGGATTGATAATCGTGAAGAAAGTGCTTGGAAGAATCAGAGCTCAATTTGCAATACCTTTATCCTGTGTCACTTTATGCAAAACCAAGAGCCATCTTGTGACGCTAAAAGGCAACAAATTTAAAATGACTGAAAGGAAATGCCTTTTCAAGCAGCATGTAATCTACCTGTGGAATTCATAGCCGCGGGATGTTATTGAGGCAAATAGTCTAGCAAGATTCAAGAAAGGATTAGACATTTATATGAATAGGAATAATATTGGCAGTTACACTAACTAGGTTAAAAAGTTACAAGGCATGTCTGTCCTGGGCTCCGGGGCATAACTGTTCACCAGCAGAAGTGAGGAAGGAATTTCCCCCTGTGGATAGAGCAGTGCATAATTGGTCAGCTGCACAGTGGCTTATATTTTTGCCGTCTTCTGTAACATAGGCAGAGACCGCTGCCCAGGGGAAGTTCCTGGCCTCGATGGTCCAGTGACCACTAAATATGACATTTCTGTCTCCTTGGCTCACAATCCTGAATAGGACACAGACACTGCCCAAGAAGTCTTTTGGGATTTGTGCCTGAGAATTTTTCAATTTTAGAAAACAGAAACAGTAAAAATAATTTCCCTCTTCTGGATGATGAAAATATTTCAGGGGATGAAATTATGCCCAGGCCATAATCTTCTTAGTGGCATAGACAACCACCCTGGGAGGCTGCCAGGCACTGCCAGATCTCAGTGTGTCAGGGCCATTGTCAAATCTCACTCTGGGGCATCATTCACCCATTTATGTGTGTCCATCTAACCCTATACCTTAAGGGTGGGATCAAACAACAATAAATATTCAAATTTTTAAAAATTTATTACAGCAAAAGACATTACCACTAGTCCTCCTCAATATACTCCCATTGCTCCAAACACATTTATCACATCATTTTTGGCACTTTCTGAAGCAGCTCTGGAAGTCCTCTTTCGTGAGCGTCTTTTCGTGGCTGCCTCAATGTCGTGAATCATTTAAAAATGTTAACGGCGATTCCCGTCGAATAACATTACAGGTGTGTCCTCGTTCATGTTATTCACCAAATCTGGCACTATGTGACCTCTGGCTCTTTCCCAAAGTCAAAATGACCCTAAAACCTCAGCATTTTGAATCGATTAAGGACATGGAGGCACCCTCAATGACACAACTAAAGACATTCATGAAAGAGGACTCCAGAGTTGCTTCCAAAAGTGGCAAGGATGGTGGAATAAGTGAGCTTGAAACAGGGAGGAGTGGTCTTTCGAGAGAGATTAATGGTAATGTCTCCTTTACTGTAACACATTTCTAAAAATTAAACATCCACCCGATTGTTTGATCACATTCCACGTGTGTGTAATGAAAGTACACTTCTGCAGGCATGGACGGGAAAGCTGCTCATAATACTGTGTATTCACCTTTCTGAGCTTTTCTGTCTGTCACACAGTCGACCACGCTACAGGTAAAGCCTTAGACTCTTGTTGAGGGTTACCATGCGGGGTTTTTTCACACTAACATGTAAAGCCCAAAAGGCAGTTTTTAACCGCGTATCTGAATATGAGCATCCACAATAAATGATATCATATTTTTTAGATGCTGAAATGAAATGATTGATTATAATTACTTACAGTCCTTAGTTATCCAGGTATGGATGACACTGTGAAGAAACTGCATCCATACTTGAAGGATTAGAAAAAGGCAGGCTCCGAACTTGGCTATAAAATAAATTCTGCAACCCAAAATAGAAACACATCTTAACTTAAATCCTCAGACCAGGAATGGATCTAAAAGAGTTCTCATAGACTCAGATCAAAGTAAAGAGATATACAGAGAGATGTTGTTAATAAATATGTTTTACTCCAGAGAGGAAGAGGCCACAGATTCTATTAATATTTTCAGAGAAACTCTTGCAAACTAAGTTAAAAACACTGATCTAGGCCTGAATCCAAAAGAAAACTCTCAAGTGAATCTTGATGAAGTCATTTCATTTCAAAGTCCTTGGACCTACATGTAAGACTTGTTCCTTTGGATCGTCCTTGAATTGGCAAAATATCAATGGGATTCCCCTAGCTAAAGATCATTCATATAGTGTTTAATTCTTATCCAGAGGCAAGACTTCAGAAAGTTGAAGTTTTGCTTCAGAGAGCTACCAGTTATTTTATTAACTTCTTGCAGACAACCTTGTTCAAATTTGGCAGTTTTGCCTCAGTCTAAGCTGTCCTGTTGATTTTTTCATGTCCTTCTCATAAGAACATAGCTTTTCACATGTGTGTTTGCTGGTGTGGAATATGGGTGATCACTGTTTTTTTTTTTTACATAAAGTTAACCACATATTATGAGGAATTACAAGTTATTAGAAGTTAAGAGTATAAGATCTATAGTCGAGATGGGGTTGAAATTTCACACTAGCAGTATGACTTCAGATAAACTAACCTTCTCATGTCTCTCCTTTCTCATCTGTGAATGGAGATACAATAATTTCTCCTACACAAAGACCCGTAAGATTAAATGAAGCAATGCCTATAAAGCACTGTCATATATTCAATAGACAAATGTTAATTATTATGATCATGTACATTTCGCCTATATGTTTATGAGCATTAGGAGTGCATCTCCTATCTCCCTATCACTGCATAGCTCTCATACATTTCTGTGGCTCTTTATGCAAACTGGCAGTGAGTCTCAAACATACCTTATCACAGCAATACGAGTGTCCATTTCACCATTCCTTGGAAGATAAAGAGCATAGAGATAATGGGAAGTACAGAGATAGATCTTTCTCTAATGGAAGGAGGTCAAGAGATGAAGGGGTGAAAAGGAAGGAAAGAGGACGTTAAGAAGAATTAAGATGTGCTCTGTAAGTGCCAACTCCACACGAGGAATGTAAACATTGTGTACTGCAAACATGTGCTGATGAAAAAGTGTTTGAAAAAAGAAAATAGAAAAGATCAAGGAAAAAAAGGAAGCAAGAAAAGGAAAGTGGGGTCCGGGGATGTAGCTCAGTGGTTCCGGCGCCTGCCTCGCATGCGCAAGGTCCCGAGTTCAATCCTCAGTACCAAAAAAAAAAAAAAAAAAACAGGAAAGTTAAAATTTTTTAAGTATACAAGTGAGAATTTGCATTTTCATATCTACATGAAATTCTGTGGGGAGAAAGTCTGTGACTCATTTTTGTAGTGCCAGGGACCAAACGCATAACCTCAAATATGCTAGGCAAGTGCTCTACCACTGAGCTATACTCCAAGGCCCCCAAATTCTATGAATGGTGCAAATTTCTCTTCTGTCACCATGTACCAGAACCCTCCAAGTCCTTTCTCAAGGTATTGCACTTCACCTCGCAGAAATAGTTATCCTATATTCACAAACCTTGTCCTCCAGCAGCTGACTGAAGTCGCAGAGGGGAACAGTGACTTCCGGGTTCCTGCCAGATGCCCAGTTGTCCCATAAAAGCCAGCATCCAACTGCCCATCGCCAGTACGAAGATGGTATGGGCAAGATCATTCCCAGGGGAAATGGGACCTGTGGAGGCCAAATACAAATATTTCCCTGCAAAGTGGAATAAAGCCGAGCGACACAGCCCAGATCTGACCACGAGTCCTAGGAAATGTAACCCAATGAGCACAGCACCTGAGCTGCGAGAGGGATAATCTGTGGGGGAACAGTTGGTTTGTGCAGCTTTTGAAGAGACCTAATAATACCTGGTTTTGTGGGGAGAGGAAAAAAGAAAAGAAAAGAAAAGAAAAGAGGGAGAATTTGGGCCTTTGGTATGAAGCTTACCATGTGGGAAAGAGGAGAGGCTGACAATGCTGTGATGGAAATTTTCTTTCTGGAGGCAATGAAGTGAATGGTTCTCCTCACTTTTTCCATACCAGTGGCTCTAAAAACAAGTCATGAGGAGAGGCCCAAAAATTCATTTGAAGTCTAAACAGGCATTGTTTTTTGTTTTTGTTTTTGTTTTTTAGTGGTAATCAAACTCAGGACCTTGCGCTTTCCAGGTAGGCGTGATGCCACTGAGCTACCTCCCCAGTCCCCAGGCATTACGTTTTAAAGAAGATATCTGACCTCTCTGCTCATCCAAGCAAAAATGTGATGAAAATCTAAGTTGACGTGATGGATGAGATAGATCAGCTGCTTCCCTAACTCCATTACAATGGGGCACTCACTGAAAACACTCAAATCCTAGCTGTGCCCATTTGATTTTGCAGATGGTACAATACTTTCAGTCGATCCCAGAAGCCAAGACCAGCTAAGCAAGCTGAGAGGACGGGTTGCACCAAGGTGGGGACCATTGTGTCCTGGCTCCATGGATCTCTCCACACCTGGGTCTGAAGCAAACTCGGGCCAGGCGACGTGGTAGAAAGAACAGGGTTCCTTCACTTACTATCCATGTGGCTCTGTGCAGGACAGCATTGAGTCTCTCTACTCCTTTGCTGCTTGCACTATGAAACAGACAATAATGCCTGCTTTGCAGAGCTATTATTAGGAAGCAGCACCTCCTGGTACATGAGCAATTATATATATAAATATATATAATTATACAATATATATACAATATATATGGATATACAATATATGTATATATATAAATATATAGTGTATATACAAACATATGCATGTGTGCATGCATATACACATATATGCATTTGAATTTTTGAGAATCAGTTCCTCTTTATCTTTATAGCTCACCAGACAATTTTTGAAAAGTCAATCAAGAAAGGAAGGACAGAAACATATCTTTTTTTTTTCCAAGAAGAAAGACCAATTAAACATCAAATATTAACTGTTCCTGGGAGTAAATTTTTTTAATGGGTTAAAGGCTTGGCCATTATGCACCTCCGATATGTAATTTCTAAGAAAGGACCAGGTAATATATTTTTTTAAATTAAGTGGAAGATAAAATACTAGAACCAGTATATCCATTCGGAAAGCACTTTTTTATCCATTTTCAGTAGCCTCCCAATTGCATCACGGCTTTTAAGGGACCCAATTTGTTTAACAGCACTTTATTTTAAACCTTGTGAAAAGCATTGATTTATGATGGAGCTGATTAAAGCAATGGTGTCTTAAGCAATAATGATTTCAATTACAGGACTTCCACTGCTGTGCATTATTCTGATTTTCCCTCCATTCTTTCCACATTTTTATTCACTAAAGAAGGGAGTATGGGTAGATGATGTAATTTTGAAAAGTCCCTAGACAAATTTAATATCAGAAAGGAAGGTATAGACAGATGGACTGATGTAGCTTTTTTGATTATGTGAATGTATTGTATTTTAATACGCTCTGACAAACTCTTGAACAGCTCCCTGATGAGCTCCTACCCGATATCATTAGGGTTATTTAGTGCTTGAATTCTGCTCAGTTCCCACAGGAACCACAAAGATGGAGTAAGAATGTGCGTGCTAGAATCACTACAAGTCTAGTACTTCAGAGTCTTGCTCTTCTCTTTCAATTAAGTTCATACTAGATTCTTAACTCATTCAACTCCAACAGTCATAGAAACCCATACCAAATAGTGTCATCCAATCCGAAGGCCTGTGTTAGGCATATTTTGTTGCTAGGACAAAATATATAGAAAAATCATCTTTTAAAAGAGAAAATTTTAGTTTGGCTTATGGTTTCAGAGGTTTCAGTCCAAAATCTCTCAGCCCTGTTGCTTTGGCCTAGTGGCACCACAGTACAGCATTGCAGGAGTGCATGACAACAGACAGCTGGTCACCTCATAGCTGCTGGAAACCAAAATAGAGAGACATGAGAAAGCCAGGCTCCCAAATACCCCTTCAAGGGCACAAATTCAATAACCCAACTTCCTTCTACTGGGCAGCACCTCTTAAAGTTTCTACCTCCTCCCACTAGCACCACAGGCTAGGGACCAAGCCTTCAATTCCTAAGCCTTGGCCCAGACACATTTCATAATGGTGGAAGATAGTGAAGGAACCGGGTCTGATGGGGGAAGCTACTCCTAGGCCCCAGCTATTTGTCACCATGGAGATGTAGAAACCAAACAGTGCCACGACTTCAGACATTTCCAAGGAATCCAAAAATTCACATATGAGTGTGCAGTTGAAGTTTCTTAATTTTCAAAGTCTAGGGAAGCATTGGGATGATTCAGCCTGCAGCCTGTCTCTGCAGGGCTTCCCGTTTGATGTAGGACTGGCCAAGCCATGTAGTTATTAGAGATATGTGGACAATGGAGCACCATGGTCTATAATAATTTCAAAAACTAGTTCAGTAGCACCACACCTGCCTCGCAAGTGCAAGGTCCTGAGCTCGATTCCCAGTACTGGAAAAAAAATTAAAGTATTTTTATCCTATTTCACAAATATTTAATTATGTGCTAAGAAACATGTTAGGCACTAGTGATGCAAGATAAAGAACAATACTCATTAGTCACCTTCTTGGAACTAACAATCTAACATTCGTGTCTATGAAGGATTTCAGATTTTTAAAAAATAAGGATGAATGGAGTCTAATATTGAAGCTCAATTGATCACATTATTTACTCTTCAGGGAAATTAGCTCATCCCTATACTCTGACTTGAAGCTCCATTTTAATTTGAGAACTAATCCTCTGAATAATCACAGTCCATAAAGGATACATTCCCACTGAAATCCTCTCAAAAACTGGTAGGAGCAGTTCCAACCTCACCTTGATAAAGTTTTGCTCCATCCAATCAATGTTTTTGCTCTAACAAATTTCTTAGACACTGGTACTAACTGGGCCCTTCAATGATTTAAATCTAGCCCTTAATCTCAGCTGTTCTATGTTGCTATCATTTTTATAGGAGCTGACTATCTAAAGCAATATGCATTAATCTCTCTAGAAAATCGCCTTAATACTTTTTTAACTTTTTTGGAAGAAAAGAAACCCTGTGACACATACGAAGGCACTCAAGTTGAGTCATTGAATTTGTGGCTTAGTACTTGAAAAATGATGTACCAAATTGCTTTTCAGGAGAAAATAAGATCAAAGTTAAGATTCTTCCTTTGTCAACTTCATCATTATTTCTCAGACTCCTTGAAATCCTTTCAAAATATTTCCATTGATGTAGGTGGATGCTTTCTCTTCTCCTCTAAATATGCTATCACCTTCCATTTCCTTCTCTGATAGCACTGCCTGTAAGGAAAGTTATCAAACATCACTACCGTGGGCAGGATATGGAAAGAGGCAAAGCAGGTGGAGCACTGGACTAAGAACTTAGCATTGAAGTGATTTAAACACAGCATTTGATCCACTCTGTATCTTAATGACAGGCAATTATGGGAGACTTCATTTCCTTCTTTGCATATAATTTGAACCCAAACTTTAGCACACAGCTTCCTTGTCCTTCCTCTCTTTTCAGCCCATCCCTTTAGCCACCTTGTGAACTTCTTCCCAGCAAGCATTAGCTCACAGGCTAAACTCTCAACTCTCAGTTTTACAAATGAAGAAAATGAGGCCTGGGGAAGCCTAAAGCTGGTTCATGTTAGAGGAGGGTCTAGAACAAATGGTGTTGACTGTTGAGTCCCATGTTTTTCCTTTCAGTACTTTTATCTAATACAGCATCCAACCCTAGTGGGGGTGACAATCTGCCTTGAAGTTCTGCTTTAATTTGAGAACTAGTCCCTTGAATGCCAATGTGCACACAGGACATAGTCACATTAAAATCCTCATCAGCAATGGACAATGTGCCCTGGGTCCCAGAGTTTTGAGATGTTTGCAGCACCACAGGGCCTGGCATGGTATGCACGGCAGTAGCACAGACTCGGTGTGATAAGCTAATGTCAACAGAAACACTAGGGTTAGCATTTGCACACCATCGTGCTAGTGGAATGTTGAGACCCTCCACATATATTTTTAAAGACTAGCAAGAGTTTATATATATTTCCCATGACCTTGTAGATCAGCAGTGTTTGAAAATCTTAGCTGAAACTATAAATGGTAACTGGACCCATTAAAGAAGAAGTAAGTTAGATCTTTTATTTTTTTCTTTTTAAATGTGGTATTCCGGGAAGCTGCCTCTGGACATAACTACAGAAAATTAACACAATAAGAAAGCATTATAGAACAGCTATTAACTGATTATGCTAATAAAAACCAAATGGGGGCCTTAATTCTGCCCCTCTGGGAAAGCAGGACAGATAAAATAAACAATAGGAAAAAATATAGAATAAAGGATAATTGATTTTAAACAACTATAATACTGATCCGTCCCACCATGATAAAAAAAAAAAAATACAGATCTCAGTTTTCACTTTGGGAATGACAGAAGAAAGTTCTAATTCCACCTCAAGACCTAATTTTGATGCTAACAGGGGTACTCTCCAAGCTAACAAATTGGAAAAACTAAGGCATGCTGGCAAGGCTCTTAAAAGCCAGGGACCTGGCTTCTTGATTCGATGTAGTGCATTAACTAGATGTTTCCCTCGGGGGAAGATAGAACCACAGCAGCCCAGCACCAGCCCCCGTGGAATGGAACAAGACGGGGTCCAAGGAAAATGGGCAGCCAAGTCAAGGCCAAGCCAGGTGAAGGAGAGAAAAGAAAACTGAGTACCCACTATCTTGAGCAGACGTTGGGGGCCCTCTAAAGCCACCCCCAGTATAGCATTTTCTGTTGGATAACTCCTAAGATTCTTGACTTTGCTTAGGTTTAGGCTAGAAAGTCATGGTGATAAAAGGGTCCTTGCTTTGCACTTGATAGGGAAAATCTGGCCAATATGCCTGCCTTTGAACCTAACAGACACAGAATAGATGCCCAGTAGGAGATTAGTGTCAGCTCAACTTGCATTAGCTCACATTTTGCAGGTGAGCATGCAGACATTCAGGGCAACACAAGACCTAATCAAGCCCCCAAAGGCACTGGCCACTCCACCTTGCTTTGCCAGCAGTATTGCTAACTTTTTGCTGTAATTTCTTGCCGTACTTTCTTGCCCTCCATCTCTTTTCTTATATTGTTTTTTTTTGGTTTTTGTTTTTTGTTTTTTTGGAGGTTTTTTGTTTTGTTTTGTTTTTTTGGTACCAGGGATTGAACTCGGGTCCTTGCGCTTGGACAGTAGGCGGCAGAACCACTGAGCTAAATCCCCGGCCCCTCTTATATTGTTTTAACCGTCTAACCCATGGAACCAATCACTTTTGCATGGCAAATGCAAAATCCCAGGTTATTTTTACTTCTCACTGGCAAAATGTCAACAAATTCAAATGAAATGATAATTTCTGTGTGAGAAAATAGGTTAGCATTTTCTTAAAACACTAAAGTAAAAATAATCTCATGCAAGACGCTTTTAAGTTGGCAAGAGATACCGGGGTAGTTCCATGTGACTTACTAAGTAAAATGAGGGCAACAGTGATTTTTAATGTGTCTAAGAATTATAGGAAAATTCTACAGTCAGTAAACAATTAAGGTTAGAGTTGAAGAAAAGAATCAACGCATATATATGGGGGTGTCTATAGAGGGAGAAAATATTCATGAGAATAAAAAGGGTAACACTTATTCAGTAACTGATAAAGGGGTCTGGGA